TATCAGACAAATTAGATTTTAAAACAAAGAGTAATAAGAGATGAGGAAGGACACTATATCCTACTGAAAGGGTCTATCCAACAAGAAGATCTAACAATTGTAAATACCTATGCCCCTAACATGGGAGCAGCCAATTATATAAGGCAATTAATAACAAAAGCAAAGAAACACATTGACAACAATACAATAATAGTGGGGGACTTTAACACCCCCCTGACTGAAATGGACAGATCATCGAAGCAAAAAATCAACAAGGAAATAAAGACTTTAAATGAAACACTGGACCAAATGGACTTCACAGACATATGCAGAACATTCCATCCCAAAGCAACGGAATACACATTCTTCTCTAGTGCCCATGGAACATTCTCCAGAATTGATCACATCCTAGGTCACAAATCAGGTCTCAACCGGTAGCAAAAGACTGGGATTACTCCCTGCATATTTTCAGACCACAATGCTTTGAAACTAGAACTCAATCACAAGAGGAACATCGGAAAGAACTCAAATACATGGAGGCTAAAGAGCATCGTACTAAAGAATGAATGGGTCAACCAGGAAATTAAAGAAGAATTTAAAAAATTCATGGAACCCAATGAAAATGAAAACACAACTGTTCAAAATCTTTGGAATGCAGCAAAGGCAGTCCTAAGAGGAAAGTAGATAGCAATACAAGCCTTTCTCAAGAAACAAGAGAGGTCTCAAATACACAACCTCACCCGACACTTAAAGGAGCTAGAGAAAAAACAGCAAATAAAGCCTAAATCCAGCAAGAGAAGAGAAATAATAAAGATCAGAGCAGAAATCAATGAAATAGAAACCAAAAGAACAGTAGAACAGATCAACGAAACTAGGAGCTGGTTCTTTGAAAGAATTAACAAGATTGAGAAACCCCTGGCCAGATTTATCGAAAAGAAAAGAGAAATGACCCAAATCAACAAAATCATGAATGAAAGAGGAGAGATCACAACCAACACCAAAGAAATACAAACAATTATAAGAACATGTTATGAGCAACTCTATGCCAGCAAATTAGATAACCTGGAAGAAATGGGTGCATTCCTAGAGATGTATCAACTACCAAAATTGAACCAGGAAGAAATAGAAAACCTGAACAGACCTATAACCACTAAGGAAACTGAAGCAGTCATCAAAAATCTCCCAACAAACAAAAGTCCAGGGCCAGATGGCTTCCCAGGGGAATTCTACCAAACATTTCAAGAAGAATTAATACCTATTCTCCTGAAACTGTTCCAAAAAATAGAAATGGAAGGAAAACTTCCAAACTCATTTTATGAGGCCACCATTACCTTGATCTCCAAACCAAAGACCCCATCAAAAAGGAGAATTACAGACCAATATCCTTGATGAACATGGATGCAAAAATTCTCACCAAAATACTAGCCAATAGGATCCAACAGGAACATTAAAAGGATTATTTACCATGACCAAGTGGGATTTATCCCTGGGCTGCAAGGTTGGTTCAACATCCACAAATCAATCAATGTGATACAATATATTAACAAAAGAAAGAACAAGAATCATATGATCCACTCAATAGATGCAGAAAAAGCATTTGACAAATACAGCATCCTTCGTGATCAAAACTCTTCAGAGTATAGGGATAGAGGGTACATATCTCAATATCATAAAAGCCATCTATGAAAAACCTACAGCAAATATCATTCTCAATGGGGAAAAGCTGAGAGCTTTCCCCCTAAGGTCAGGAACGCGGCAGGGATGTCCACTATCACCACTGTTATTCAACATAGTATTAGAAGTCCTAGCCACAGCAATCAGACAAGAAAAAGAAATCAAAGACATCCAAGTCGACAAAGAGGAAGTCAAACTCACTCTTTGCAGACGATATGATACTTTATGTGGAAAACTCAAAAGACTCCACTCCAAAACTGCTAGAACTCATACAGGAATTCAGTAAAGTGGCAGGATAGAAAATCAATGCATAGAAATCAGTGGCATTCCTATACACCAACAACAAGACAGAAGAGAGAGAAATTAAGGAGTCAATCCCATTTACAATTGCACCCAAAACCATAAGATACCTAGGAATAAATCTAACCAAAGAGGCAAAGGATCTGTATTCAGAAAACTAGAAAATACTCATGAAAGAAATTGAGGAAGACACAAAGAAATTGCACTACTGGGTATTTACCCCAAAGATACAAATGTAGGGATCCGAAGGGGTATGTGCACCCCAATGTTTGTAGCAGCAATGTCCACAATAGCCAAACTGTGGAAAGAGCCAAGATGTCCATTGACAGATGAATGGATAAAGAAGAAGTGGTATATATACACAATGGAATATTATGCAGCCATCAAAAGGAATGAGATCTTGCCATTTGCAAGGACGTGGATGGAACTGCAGGGTGGTATGCTGAGTAAAATAAGTCAATCAGAGAAAGACATGTATCATATGACCTCACTGGTATGAGGAATTCTTAATCTCAGGAAACAACCTGAGGGTTGCTGGAGTGGTGGGTGGTGGGAGGGATGGGGTGGCTGGGTGATAGGCATTGAGGAGGGTATGTGCTACGGTGAGCGCTGTGAATTGTGCATGTCTGTTGAGCACAGATCTGTACCTCTGAAATAATGCAATATATGTTAAGAAAAAAAGAAGAAGAAGAAGATAGCAGGAGGGGAAGAATGAAAGGGAGTAAATTGGAGGGGGAGATGAACCATGAGAGACGATGGACTCTGAAAAACAAACTGAGGGTTCTAGAGGGGAGGGGGGGAGGGGGATGGGTTGGCCTGGTGATGGATGTAAAGAGGGCACGTTCTGCGTGGAGCACTGGGTGTTATGCACAAACAATGAATCATGGAACACTACATCAAAAACTAATGATGTAGTGTATGGTTATTAACATAACAATAAAAAATTTAAAAACTAATGATGTAATGTATGGTGATTAATATAACAATAAAAAATTTAACGAAGTAAAAAAAAATTCTGATTCAAAGGTGTACAAGCACCGTGATGTTTATAGCAGCATTATCAACAATAGCCATACTATGGAGAGAGTCCCAAAGTCCGTGTGCTGATGAATGGATAAAGGTGATGTGGGAGATATATATACAATGGAATAAGAATGCAATCTTACCATTGGCAAGGTTGTGAATGAATCCACGGTGGATTAAGCTAAGCAAAATCAGTAAGGAAAGACAAATACCCTATGACTTCACCATATGTGGAATTTCAGAAAGAAAACAGATGAACATAGTGCGGGGGTGGGGGACAGACTCAATCTTAGAGCACAAACCAAGGCCCAGGTGGAGAGATGGCAGATCACTTTCTTCTGTGCCACTGGCCTCACCCAACACACTCACTCACTCATCGTCTGTCCCTGTCCCTCCAGTTCACACTCCTCAGAGTAGCCAGGCTGAGACATTTCTTCGTGCTTCTTTCTTTGCATGTGTGTGAAGTTGCAAAACTTAGATGATGGAAATGACGGGTCATCAGAACATCTGTTACTCTTTTATTTCCTGCTCTCCTTTCAATCAGTGAAGTGAATCGGATCTGCTACTGGAAAGGGTTATCTGTGTGTTTTTCTTTCCTCTTTTAATTAAACAATGGGAAAACAATCTTCCAAAATATTAAAAGAATCCCTTGTGGGTGTTCAAAAAAAATGCCATTTACATTAACAGCAAAAATGTAAGGTATTTAGGGAAGGCACTTGACAAAAAACATCAAGATCTTCATAGGGAAATTTATATGCAAGGCACTGGAAAAGGTATAAATAAATGGAAACATTGCCAGGTTTGCTGATATTGGGAGTCCAGATAGCAGATTCAAATTGACCAAAGTGTATCTATGCATTTAATGTTACTGTAATCAAGTATTAAGAAGTTTGGGAAACTTTTCATAAGTTCAGGCAACTAAAACAAATGGCCAATGGCCAAACTGAATTTGAAATTGGACAAGTTGAAAGTATAGCCCATAGCAGTACTGTTCTCAGAGGCTGCAATGTGTAGTTATCTAGAATCAATTTAGAAAAATCACAAGCCTGGGGCACCTGGGTGGCTCAGTCGGTTAACCGTCTGCCTTGGGCTCAGGTCATGATCTCAGGGTCCTGGGATCGAGCCCCATGTCGGGCTCCCTGCTCAGCGGGGAGCCTGCTTCTCCCCTCCCCCTCTACTGCTCCCCCTATTTGTGCTTGCACTCTCTCTCTCTCTCTCTCTCTCTCTCTCAAGTAAATAAAAAAAAAAATCACAAGCCTGTGATCTACATGAAAAGTAAGAGGTCCAAAGAAAAAGAACAAGAAGAAGATCTAAAATTTATATGAAATTTATATAGTAGTGCTTCTCAAATTTATATGAAAGAACAAATGGGTTTTCCATGTTCTTCCATGAAGCACAGACAAGCCATCCCCAGTCAGGCCTCTCTGCATTTCTGATCCACAGAACCTGTTCATGTAGGAAATGGTTTTTGTTTTATGTCACTAATTTTGGGGTGGTTTGTTACACAGCAGTAGATAACCAGAATGTCCTCATTCATAAAGGACTTTGGAATGCTTATACAAACCTTCTAGACCTTCTAGATCTTTCCATGTCCATGGGTGGCCTCAGTGTTCACACCAATGACCATTATTGTACTCTAGTCTCCCAGTTCCTGGACCTCCTCACCCACAGGGATGTCCTCATCTAAGCCACCTCAGCTGCCTGCTTTGAGTTATAAAAAAGCAGGATCTTGAGGATTTTAACGGCCACCTGTGAGGGTTTAAGATAAGGGACAGTGGCAGCCAAAGGGATAATGGTAGCCTCATCTTACCACTCCCCCGACCCCGGCCAAAGATCCCAGGACTCCTGCCTGGGGTTGTCCACAGGCAGGACACTGAGCAGAGCTGCAGGTCACAAAGTCACCATGCCAACCCTCCTGTCCATCATAACAAGGCCTTCTGCCCCGGGGGTGCGGGGGAAGGGCCACGCAGGTAGTAGGGCCATCGCCCCAGAGCCAGCCACTTGCTTCTTCCGCCCAAAGGGCAGGTAGCAGGTGGAGGCTTGAAGTGCGTCTTCGGAAAGGGCTGGAGAGGCGGAGGCCTCCTTGGCACGGGAGGAGTCCAAGGAGGCAGCTGCTTGAGTTTACCTGAAGTGACCAGCATCCAGCAGCGCCGCAAGGGCGGCCCAGAAAATGGGGAGCCGCAGCCTGGGCTTGCCATGCCCCGCACTTTTCCTGCTGCTGGTGCTGCGGCCTCCACTGCTGAGAGCCGGAAGCTTCCTGCAGACCGTCCAGAGCTCAGAAATGTATGACTTTGATCTGGACACTGACCTGGACCCAGAAATATATGACACCGGTCTGCAGACCGTCCAGAATCCAGGCAATCAGAACACGAATAACCAACACCACCACCTCCGCCCACCTGAGAAAGTCCCCCAGCCCAACAGCAACACGAGCCACAATTCCCAGGAGACCCTGGCAGAAGAGTCGAAAAACTGCAGAGGCGAATTTGATCTTTACTTCCTCTTGGACAAGTGAGTGGCCCTCCTGCCCTACCCAGCCCCCCAAGGGCAGAGTGGTCCCTGAGGTCAATATGGGCAAGACGCGCCCAAAGGGGATTCCAGCTTCCGAGAGGGGAGGGGAGGGGGGAGTCTTGGTCCGACCCAAGGAACCTCGGCAGCTTCCTTGTTCCTGAGACAGAAGGAATGACCCCAAAATTTGTTCTCTGGGACTTTTCCTTTTGGAAAGGAGAAAAGGCCACTATAGGGTTTCTGGCTGGCTCTCAGTCCCTCCTCTGACATGGCCCAGATCTGTGACCTGCATGCCTCTTAAACAGCTGGAGGGGCAAGTGATTGCTAGAAGCTCCTTCTCAGCAGTTGTTAGAAGCTCGCTGGGTTTCAATTTCTGTCTGTGTGGTTTTTTGCTTGTGTTGCTTTTCACCTACGTGGATTCTGTTTTTACTGGGCACCAGAGAGATTTCCCTGTTGTTTCTGTTGGGCATTCCTGGAGTGTCACTGCTTAGAAAGTCCTTTGCTTTCCTGCCAAGACTTTTGCTTCTTTCTTCAACCACTTGGAGACCACATTCCGGATTGTGTTCACTTCCAGAACAGCTAGGTCTGACTGGGTATTGTTCTGGGAAGCTGGGCTGTGAATTAGGCACCCTGTGGCCCTCAGAGAAAGAAAGGGGGTGGATCTTCATGCTCGGAGAAATTGGAGACATTGCCTTGTTTGCATTTCCAACTTATGGGGTTGAGAATAAACTTTACTGGGTCAATAATATCAGTGGTATGACTCAATAGTATCACTGAAGCACGTTTTGGTTTCCAAAACCCTTCCACTGCACTTCCATCATCCTCAAAACCACCCTGGGATGTAGAGTAGGGAAGACATTTGCACTTGCTATCTCCTGGGAAAGGGGTGGGATCTGGAGGTTGGATGAAGTAGCCCCCAGTCTGGTGGGGTTGACAGGACTCAGGCTTCCTCTGTGCCCAGATTATAGCATCCCAGGCTGTACTGCCTCTGATTCCTCTCATTCTCCATGGATGCTGATGACTGGGGGAGCGTTGGGGGGGGGAGGTGTGCCCAGTCACCAGCTTCTAAACAAAGCCAACAGAGCTGAGAGGCACTCTAACCACTCTGCCCACTGGAATAAGTCCCTCCTCACTGTCTGGTGGAGGGACTTCTGAATTGCCCTGAGCAGGTCTTGTCTCAATGATATTGGCACAGCCCAGGGGGATGGTGATTTCTCTCTTAGGCATTAGGGTTGGGGGGTAGGAAGACTCTTTGTTGGGAGATTTTTTATTATTGATTCAATTTCTTTGCTAGTTATGGGTTTGTTCAGGTTTTCTATTTCTTCCTGTTTCAGTTTGGGTAGTTTATATGTTTCTAGGAATTTATCCATTTCTTCCAGATTGTCTAATTTGTTGGCATATAAATGCTCATAATATTCTCTTACAATTGTTTGTATTTCTTCGGTGTTGGTTGTGATCCCTCCTCTTTCATTCATGATTTTTTTTTAATTTTTTATTGTTATGTTAATCACCATATATTACATACATTCATGATTTTATTTATGTTGGTCCTTTTCTTTTTCCTAAGTCCGGCTAGGGGTTTATCGATCTTGTTAATTCTTTCAAAGAACCAGCTCCTAGTTTCGTTGATCTGTTCTTTTATATATATTTCTATATCATTGATTTCTGCTCTAATCTTTATTATTTCTATTATTTCTCTTCTCCTGCTGGATTTAGGCTTTATATGCTCTTCTTTTTCCATCTTCTAGGTGTAAGGTTAGGTCTTGTATTTGAGACTTCTCTTGCCATGTTGCTATATACTACCCTCTTAGGACCACCTTTGCTGTATCCCAAAGGTTTTAAACTGTCGTGTTTTCATTGTCATTTGCTTCTGTGTATTTTTTTTTAATTTCTTGGTTGAACCATTTATTCTACAGTAGAACATTCTTTAACCTCCATGTATTTGTGATCCTTCCAAATTTTTTCTGGTGGTTGACTTCAAGTTTATAGCATTGTGATTTGAAAATATGCAGGAATTAATCCCAGTCTCTTGGTACTGGCTGACACCTGATTTGTGACCTAGTATGTGATCTCTTCTGGAGAATGTGCACTCGAGAAGAATGTGTATTCTGCTGCTTTAGGATGAAATGCTCTGAATACATCTGTGAAGCCCATCTAGTCCAGTGTATTCTGCTTTGACGATCTGTCCATTTCTGTGGGTGGGGTGTTAAAGTCCTCTAATATTATTGTATTATTATCAATAAGTTTCTTTAATTTTGTTATTAACTGGTTTGTATATTTGGCTGCTCCCAAGTTAGGGGCATAAATATTTACAACTGTTAGATCTTCTTATTAGATAGACCCCTTTATTATGATATAGTGTCCTTCTTCATCTCTTATTACAGTCTTTGTTTTAAAATCTAGTTTATCTGATGTAAGGATGGCTATCCCAGCTTTCTTTTCATGTCCATTAGCATGATAAATTGTTCTCCACCTCCTCACTTTCAATCTGGAGGTATCCTTGGGTCTAAAATGAGTCTCTTGTAAGCAGCATATCAATGTGTCTGTTGTGTTTTTTTTTTAATCCATTCTGATACCCTTTGTCTTTTGATTGGAGCATTTAGCCCATTTATATTCAGAGTAATTATTGAAAGATATGAATTTAGTGCCATTGCTGTTCCTGGTAATTGTCTCTGTTCCTTTCTGGTCTTTGCTACTTTTGGGCTCTCTCTCTCTCTTTGTTATTTTTGGGCTCATAGGATCCCTTTTATATTTCTTGCAGGGCTGGTTTAGTGTTCACACATTCCTTTAGTTTTTATTTTGGTTTTATTTGTCCTGGAAACTCATTATCTCTCCATCTATTCTGAATGACAGCCTTGCTGGATAAAGTATTCTTGGCTGCATACTTTTCAATTTAGCATGTTGAATATATCATGCCAGTCCTTTCTGGCCTGCCAGGTCTCTGTGGACAGGTCTGCTGCCAACCTTATGTGTCTGCCCTTGTAGGCTCAGGATCTCTTTTCCCCAGCTGTTTTCAGGATTTTCTCTTTATCTTTGAAATTTGCAAGTTTGACCTGTTTTTATTGATTTTGAGAGAGGTTCTCTGTGCCTCCTAGACCTGAATGCCTGTTTCCTTCCCCAGATTAGAGAATTTCTCAGCTATAACATGTTCAAATAAACCTTCTGTCCCTTTCTCCCTCTCCTCATCTTCTGTGACCCCTATTATCCAGATATTATTTTGCTTTATGTAATCACTGAGTTCTCTAAGTCTCTCTTTGTGATCTAATAGGTTTTTTCCTCTCTTTTTTTTCAGTTTCCTTGTTTCCCATCATGTTATGTTATCTATCTATATCACTGATTCTTTCTTCTGCTTCATTCATCCTCGTTTTTATATTCTCCACTTGGGACTGCATTTTGGTAATAGCATTTTTAATTTTGGCCTGACCAGATTTTAGTTCTTTTATTTCTACAGTAAGGGATTCCTTAGGGTCTTCTATGCTTTTTTCAAGCCTAGCTAGTATCTTTAGAATCGTTTTAAATTCTAGTTCAGACATCTTACTTATATCTGTATTGATTAAATCCCTGACAGTGAGTACTACCTCCTGTTCTTACTTTTGGGGTGAATGTCTCCAAAAGAAAGAAAGAGAAAAAACAACAACAACAATTTAAAAAGACAAAACAAACAAACAAAAGACAAAAACAAAACAAACAAAAAAACAAACCTGATCCCCCCTGTGTTTTAGTCTGCTTGTTAAAGGAAACTAGATCCATTTACATTGACATGGATGGAACTGGAGGGTATTATGCTAAGTGAAATAAGTCAATCAAAGAAACACAATTATATGGTTTCACTCATATATGGAATATAAGGAATAGTGCAGAGGACAATAGGGGTTGAGGGGGGTGGAAACTGAATGGGAAGAAATCAGAGAGGGAGACAAACCGTATGAGACTCTTGACTCTGGGAAACAAACTGAGGGTTGCAGAAAGGGAGGTGGGTAGGGGGATGGGGTAACTGGGTGATGGGCATTAAGGAGGGCATGTGATGTGATGAGCACTGGGTGTTATACTGAACTGATGAATCATTGAATATTATATCAAAACCCAATGATGTACTATATCTTGGTTAATTGAATTTAAATTAAAGAAAATAAAAATAAAAATAAAAAATAGAAAAAAACAAAAAATGGGTAGAAGGCATAAACAGACACTTTTCAAAAGGAGACATACAAATGGCTAACAGACACATGAAAAAATGTTCATCATCATTAGCCATCAGGGCAATTCAAATCAAAACCACTTTAAGATACCACCTTACACCAGTCAGAATGGCAAAAATTGACAAGGCAAGAAAAAACAAATGTTGGAGAGGTTGTGGAGAAAGGGGAACCCTCTTACACTGTAGATGGGAATGCAAGTTGGTACAGCCACTTTGGAAAACAGTGTGGAGGTGCCTCAAAAAATTAAAAATAGAGCTACGCTATGACCCAGCAATTGTACTCCTGGGTATTTGCCCCAAAGACACAGATGGAGTGAAAAGAAGGGGCCCCTGCACCCCAATGTTCATAGCAGCAATGTCTGCAATAGCCAAACTGTGGAAAGAGCCAACATGCCCTTCAACAGATGAATGGATAAAGAAGATGTGGTCCATATATACAATGGAATATTACTCAGCCATCAGAAAGGATGAATACCCAACTTTTACATCAACATGGTTGGGACTGGAGGAGATTATGCTAAGTGAAATAAGTCAAGCAGAGAAAGTCAATTATCCTGTGGTTTCACTTTTTGTGGAACATAAGGAATAGCATAGAGGACATTAGGAGAAGGAAGGGAAAAAGGAAGGGGGGGAAATCGGAGGGGGAGATGAACCATGAGAGACTATGGACTCTGAGAAACAAACTGAGGGCTTTAGAGGGGAAGGGGATGAGGGGATGGATTAGCCCAGTGATGGGTATTAAGGAGGACACATATTGTATGGAGCACTGGGTGTTATACACAAACAATGAATCATGGAACACTAC